AAAAAACATAGATGCCACTATTCTTGAATTCACTTAATGAAATTCATTGAAAATCGATTTTTTAAAATTATATACAATCTGTTATTGAATTTCATTTTAACCGAATTAATTATGAATAATCGCTGGTTGTGACTTTGATTCAACATTCGATCATTGGCTTTATTGGCCATTAAATGCTTCAAATATGTTAGTGACATTAACGTGCGGAAGCAAATATATCACAGTTGGCAATAATCGAACAAGAGGAATGCGTCATTTGTATATTGTTTCCTCCTGAGGTAACATGTAATTTATACAATCGATATCATATATGCCAATCGTATGCAGTGAAAAAAAAAATACTCGCTGAATTAAAAGTGTTCTAATTGTAAAAATGAAGCGAAGAAATACTCTAATTATGAGCAAAACAACTTCAAATTAGTATGAATTTTAAATCTTAAACGACAAATAATTCCAAAGATAATTTTTTCCTTTATATCTTATATGACTCAAAGGATCTCAGCCGAAGAGTCATAATATATATATAATATGCTATTATCAGTGATTTTGTTTTTATCTTGTTCTAAGAATATTACTGATTTGTGTGATCGATTAAGTTATTTTGTTCATTCATTTTCCTATTTACATATTAAGTAGAAGCAAAATATATTATGCGAATGTGTAATATGTGTTCTTTTAAAACAATTAATTTTCATCAAAATCAACACCTTCGTTTACAATAATAAAGGTTTGAACATAAGAACTATTGGAAAAAGTAACACTTTTGTATGCACACAGATCATTTGTAATGTATCAGAAAAATCTACATGATATGACTTGTTTTTTTCCCCAGTGTATTTACGTCAATAAGCATGGCAGGTTTTTTTCTTTTTCTTCCTACATGAGTAATAAGTCAACATATGATGAGTCAACTGAAAAAAAAACAACGAAAGATTGTACCATTTTTCCAACATATAAAAGCTTAGCTCATCGTAGTTTAAAACAAATATGGAAGAAATCGTGAATAGACTATGTAGCAAATCTAACGATCAATTAGACAAAATGGATAGTATAGAAATCAATAATACACCGGTAGGTTCATACAATCTTTTTTCTCTATTTTAATGGTTGAAGTTGATATAGATAATCACAGACGAAAACATTCTCACATGGTACGATGATAATAAAAGTAAAAGAAATTTGGTTTTTAATTTATCATATTTGAAAATGGTTAATTCTTTAGTAATTGAGCAAGAGCAATTTTGTTACAGTCTTGCTAGCCAATGCACAACAGCATTGTCTTCACTTTGCCAAGAGTCATTCGATCAAGCTTTGATGAATTCTGTATTTAACTCGACGAACGTACGTCTTTTATTAAGAATGAAAACGAAAGATTATAATATATCTGATTTTGTTTTTCTAGCCTCGACCATTAGCCCTTTATATATATGATGATCAAAGTCCAACTACATATATCTTTAACGAATTTGTGTTATATTCCGAATCAATTAATGTTTATCTTGCTGAACAATTTATTTTATGGAAATGGAATTTAACAAAAGAAAATTATCATGAGTAAATTAATACAAAGAATATACAAGAAATATTTGTTTTGTATTTTCAGACTTTTGACTATAGTTGCAACACATGCAGGTGAAGAAGTAGCAGCAATAATTGTTTCATCACCGACTGAAGTTTATCCATTGCTTATTTGTCTGATATTCGATCAAGGTCAAATAAAAGTTGAATGCATTATTCAGGGTATAATGTCAGAAAGTGAAGCATTTGGTCTTCTCATTCAAGCTCGGGATGCTTTTGGTGATCGATTTGAATTGCCAGATACAAGTGGTTTAAGCTTGACAAATATTTCAACAGAAAATTGGTCAATACCAGCAAGCACTTTGATACAAGTGCCAACCGCATCAGATGAATTTCGAAGAGTTGCTGCTGATTTCGATGGTGGAGCATCATCAATTATTCGTATTGATCGAATTGAAAATACAATATGGTTAATGCAGTATCTCAATCAGAAACAGATGGTTGATGCTCGACTTGGATATAATGATACGGAAAGATTGTTATTTCATGGTTGTCCATATGCAGCAGCTGAACAAATTCTTCAACAAGCATTTGATCACAGTCGTATTGGAAGAAATGGTAAAATGAAATGAAGAATAAATTTAAGTTTTACTTTGATTGATTTTTATTTTAGGTACTTATTATGGTCATGGATTTTATTTTTCAACAAGTCGACAAGTTAGTGATCGATTTGCTGTACCAAATCCTTCTACAAGAGAAAAAAGAATACTCATGTGCCGTGTACTGGTTGGTCGAAGTTGTGAAGGTGATTCAACAATGAGAACATGCCCATCAAATTACGATTCAACAACAGGCAAATCAAATATTTATGTTGTTTATTCTAATCGACATATCTTACCAGAATATCTT